TGATATTGGGGGTCAAACCCAGGGCTCTTGCATGCAGCGTGCTCCAGTTCCTTTTTTTTTTTTTTTGCTTTTTGGGTCACACCCAGCGATGCACAGGGTTACTCCTGGCTCTGTGCTCAGAAATTACTCCTGGCAGTGCTTTGGGGAACCATGTGGGATGCTGGGGATTGAACCTGGGTCAGCCACGTGTGAGGCAAACGCCCTCCCCACTGTGCTATTGCTCCAGCCCCATGCTCCAGTTCTTGAAGCGATTTCCCTCCCCCCTGCCTCCTTTTTTTATTTTTTTAAGGGGGTGCTGGGGATGAAACCCAGAAGCAAGGCAAGGGCATGACCGCCAATCTAGGCAGATCTTTGTCCTTATGCATGGGCCACTCTAGACACATTCTAGGTGTTCTTTCAAAAATTCTCCTTTGAAGGGCCGGAGTGATAGTACAGCAAGTGGGGCTACTTGCCTTGCATACAGCCAGCCCGGGTTCCGTCCTTGGCCTCCCATATGGCCCTGCCCTAGCCTTCCAGGAGTGACCCCTGAGCACAGAGCCAGGCGTAAGCCTGCCCTGAACACCTGCAGGTGCAACCCCAAAACAAATAAAATCCCTCTTTGGGGCAAGAGAGAGATTCCTGAGGGAAAGGCACTTGTCTCTCTCTCTCTCTCTCTCTCTCTCTCTCTTTTTTGAGTGCTAGCACAGCGGTAGGGTGTTTGCCTTGCATGCAGCCAGCCCGACCGAGCCGGGTTTGATTTCTCTGCCCCTCTGCCCCCCTTGGTGAGCCCGGCAAGCTACTGAGAGTATCCTGCCCCCACGGCAGAGCTTGGCAAGCTACCCATGATGTATTCAATATGCCAAACACAGTAACAAGTCTCAAAATGGAGTCGTTACTGGGCCTGCTCGAGCAAATTGATGAACAACAGGAGGACAGACAGACAGTTTTTTTTTTTTTTTGGCGGGGAGGTCACACCCAGCAATGCTCAGGGGTTACTCCTGGCTCTGTACTCAGGAATTACTCTTGACAGTGCTCAGGGGATCATATGGAATGCTGGGAATCGAACCCGGGTCGGCCACACGCAAGGCAAACGCCCTACCCACTGTACTATCGCTCTAGCTCCGGCACTTGTCTTCTATTCAGCTGTATCCTCAGTTGGATCTCCAGCACTGCCTAGGGTCTCTGGAACCGCCCCCTCCCCCCCCCCCAGCGATCCCTGAGCACAGAACCAGGAGGAAGCCCTGAGCACAGCCAGGTATGCACCCTCTGGAAAAAGATAAAAAGCCTCTGCCGGGTTCGGTGAGGTAGCTGGGTACCTCTGAGATAACCGTCAGCACTCCCTCATCGGTTTCAGAATTGCAGATTAAACCACAGCGAAGCAACAGCGTAAGGTCACACGGTTATCAAGGTGTGTGGGCGGCTGCAATCCGCTTGGCAGGCGCTGATCTCCGGGTGGCAGAGAACTGGCTCCGCACCAGGACCCGGAAGCACTGACGGCGCCGCCGCCGCCACAGTGATGAGGGGGCACTTGGGCAGGTGTGCACCTGGGATGGGACTTGGGAAGGCGAGGAAGGAGGATGAGCTCCCTCCCAGAGAGCCTTGCTTGAGAGGTGTAGGGGGAGCGCAGCTCGGGAATGGGGGGTGGTGTGGGACTTGGGGGGGCGCGGAAGGAGGAGGAAGGTAAGGATCCAGGTTCTGGGAGTTCTCACTCCAGGTGAAAGGGTAACACTGTGTGCCCCACACACTTCAGAAGCAGGCTGGAGGGGCTGTAGTCCAGCTTGGCCTCGGTCCCCCAAGCATTGCCAGGAGCAATTCCTGAGTATGCAGAGCCTGGAGGAATCTCCAAGCATGCTGGGTGTGGCCCCAAAACTGAAAATAAAAAAATTTATAAAAAAGGAAAGAGAAAGGGGCCAGAGCGGTGGGTAGTACAGTGGGTAGGGCATTTTGCACACGGCCGACCTGAGTTTGGTTCCCGGTATCCCCTGTGATCCCCTGAGTACGGCCAGGGGTGATTCCTGAGTGCAGAGCCAGGAGTTATCCCTGAGCATCACTGGATGTGACCCAAAAGGCCAAAAAAAGAAAGAGAGAGAGAGAGAGAGAGAACAAAAGGAAAGAAGGAAGGGAGGAAGGGGGGAAGAAAGGTCAGGCCAGAGGGCAAGTAATGCTTGAGGGAAACTTGGGTCCCCATCCCTTGCACCCAAGAATCCCCTCAATCATACCCAGCATCTCTGGGTGTGGTTCTGAACAAGGACCATCAAGACAAAAGGAAGGAGAATCAGAGAGGAAAAGCATTTTGGCCAAGGTCACACAGCCAGAGATGTCTCTTCCGCCCAGGAGACTCGTACTGTGGACCCATCTCTCAGCGTGATTGTGGTGGTGGGGAGGGCTCATAATTTTGGTGGGGAGAGATCCATGGTGGTAACAACTCGAAAGATGATCCACAGAGGCAGGAACACCTCCAGCACCCCCCCCACCCCCCGCAGAGCTGAAGGGGGGTGCAGGTTTTAGGGGTTACAGGCTTGCAGAGGCAAGAGTGACCCGGACTTGGCCAGGACCTTAGAACTTGGCAATGTAGGGTGACCTCAGCCAGAGCAAAACCAGGAACAATGAGCGAGGCTGGAGACAAACAGCCGGATCTATAAACTGGAAGACAAAGAGAAAGGGGTGGTCCAAGATCTAGGAGCCCGGAAGGGGAGGGGGAGGCAGCATCAGGGAACCCCCTGACCTCCCCCCACCCTGAAAATAGAGAAAACGGAGCATGGGTAGCTAGGGACACGATACTATCTTGGGAAGTTTTCTGGGGAAAGAAAAAAAAAGTCCCAAACGGTTCTAAAATGGAAAGTGTATTTTAAAATAGAGATGGTAAGGAGTGGGCGTGGCTGAGGGGGGGCATGTGTCTACCTAAGGCAAAGGCTTCTGGGGGCCAGAGAGATAGCACAGCGGCTAGGAGCTGGTCTCCTACACACGGCCCCTCTGGGTTCCACCCCTCCCATCCCATAAGTCCTCAAAGTCAGAAGTGATCACTGAGCACAAAGCCAGGAGTGAACCCCTCCCCCAAGCATTGCCGGGTGTGGCCTGAAAACCGGAAAGAAAAAGAAAACAGCAAGGAAATGCTTCTTGTTGGAAGCGAACGCTGAGCCAGGATGAAGGAGTCCTAAGAGGAAGGGGGGAGATTCCCTCCCAAGGACCCCTCCACATTTCTGGTATCCCCGTGGTGCCAGGAAGCCCCCTCCCCCCAGCTTCCTGCCAGCCCTGCCTGGGTCTGGTTGTAAATGGAGTAATCGGGTAGCTGGCACCAAGAAACCCCCCACTCACAAGTATGGGGCTGGTGCAATAGGACAGTGGGCTGGGTGGTTGACGTGCACGTGGCCAAACCCGGGTTTGATCCTTGGCATCCCATATGGTACCGGAGCATCACCAGGAGTAATTCCAGAGTGCAGAGCCAGGAGTAACCCCTGGGCATTCTGGGTGTGACCCAAAAAGTGAGAGAGAGAGAGAGAGAGAGAGAGAGAGAGAGAGAGAGAGAGAGAGAGAGAATGAGAGACAGAAAGACAGAGAGAGAGACAGAGACAGAGACAGAGAAACAGAGACAGAGACAGAGAGACACAGAGAGAGACACAGAGAATCCCCCAGGCAGGGACCTCTGAAAACTACCTTTGGGTTTACTACACCTGGTTCTGTGATGATCCCTGGGTGGTCCTCCTCAATGCAGCTTTAGCCTTTTGAGCTAGACCCCTGGGCCTTCTGGATGCTTTTCAAGGGGTCTACACACGTCCAAGTGGAGAAAGCTCTCACCTCTCCTCTCCTTCTGGGGGAAGGAGTACCCCACTTCTTTACCCAGATTTGACCTGATCTTTTGCTGGGATTCCATCACTTCCCCTGAGAATATGGCGGAGGAGCTGGTTGTTTTTTTCCTTTTCCCCAGGGTCTTTCCCGCTCAGGAAGCCACCCTGGTACTGAGACCCACTTCCCGTAAGGAAACTTCTTTCAGCCCCCGCGGTGGTGGTAGTGGCGGGGTGGGGGTGGGGGGAAGGGCTTCCCCCACTTGTGCTAAGAACCTTGAGGAAATAAAGGTGTCAGGAGTTTGGGGTTAGATGCTGCTTTGGGGGACTCTACTTGGGGCTCCTCTGGGAGGTTTAGGGATGGGTTTCTTGCGGGTGGGGACGGAGGCTAGAAAGGAAAGGAGACTGGGCGAGGCGGAAGCAGGGGGGACCGCTGCTGGGGTCCGGTCTGGGCGCTGGGAACGGGGGGCGCGGGCATGGGACAGTGAGGTATGATGGGGGCCAGGCGGCGGCAGGAACGGGGTGTAACGAGGAATGGGGTGTGGCAGGGGAGTGGCGAGGGGCGCACGTGGCAAGCTCCAAGCACGGGCCTGGGAAAGAACGGGGCGCAGGGCTGGGAAAGCAATTAGGGGCGTCTTCGAGCCGCTGAGTGGGGGAGACGCACGGCGCTGGGGCGGGAACAGCCGGATCGAACCCCAAAATGGAACGCCCGGGAGAATTCCAGGGAGGGAGCGGGCAGAATGGAGCTGGAAAGAGTCTGGGGCTGCGAGATCGGAAAAGGGAGTGGGGGGCGGGGAGCAGGGAACAGAGCTGAGTTGGCAGCGGGACCGTCCGGCCGTGGGGACGCGCGAAGAGGGTGGTGGTGGTGGTGGTAAACGGGAGTCGGGGGTGGCGCACGGAGGCGCCCCGGGGCGCGGCGCGCCGGGTAGGGGACGGGGGGCGTGGGGGCGCCCCGGGGCAGGCCGGGAAGCCGGGGTGGGGTGGGGGGGCGGGCCTCCCCCGGGGGCCGGGCCGGGGCGGCGCTAGGACCGAGCGAGCCGGCAGGGAGAGAGGGAAGGAGGGAGGGAGGGAGCCGGGCGGAGCCAGCGCCCCCCGCCCCCCGCGGCCTGCTCCCCTCCCCCGGCCGCTCGCTTGCTCGCTCGCAGCGCTGCAGAGGCTCGGAGGCTCCGAGGCGGCGGCGGCGGCGGCGGCGTCTCCCAGCTGCACCCCCCTCGCTCCCGGCCGCTCCGTCCCTTGCATCCGTCGGTCCGTCCGCGCGTCCGTCGGTCCGTCCGCGCGCGCGCGCGTCTGTTTCCCACCCCCATCCCCTTCCCCTCCGCCCCCCGCCTCGGCATGGCCGGCGTGAGCTTCAGCGGCCACCGGCTGGAGCTGCTGGCGGCGTACGAGGAGGTGATCCGGGAGGAGAGCGCGGCCGACTGGTGAGCCCCCCCGACCCCCGGATCCCCCCACCCCACTGCCGGCCCCTTTGTCCCCGCGCCGCCGGCCGCCGCAGCGCCTTTGTCTCCCGCGCGCCCCGCCGCCGCCGGCCGGAGCTGGGGGGGACCCCCCGAAATGGTGCAGCGGCCCGGGAGGGGCTGCCTTTGTGCGCGCCGGGGGGAGGGGCCGCGCCGAGCCTGGCGGGGCGCAGCTGCGGGTGGGGGACACCCCCCCCATTCCCCCTTCCCGAGCGCCCCTAGGCGGGCTCCGGGCGAGCGCACCGGCCCGACCGACGCGGGGGGTCAGGGGGGCGGCCCCCGGGTGCCAGGGGGAAACCCATCCCCCTCCCCGCGTGCTCGGGCCCCCCCCATCACCCCCACACACACACCCGCGAGCCCCGGGGACAGGTGTGCACGGGGCGGCCAAGGGCACCTTCGCCACCTCCGAACTGGGCGAGGACCGGGCGGGGACGGGGCGGGGACCCAGCGAGCGAGCGGGGCCGGCCGGGCCGCGGCACAAAGGAAAAATCGGGCGGGGGAGGTGCGGGGCCGGCGGGGGGCCCGGACGCCCCGCCCACCGGGGGCGCCCCCCAGCTCGCTCACTTGGGTGTGATGGAAAAGGGCTTGGTGACCACATGGCCACCGCCGAGTGACTGGGGGGTGGGGTGGGGTGCCACCCTCCCCCCACAATCTCCTCAGCCCTGGTGGCGGCGGTGGAGCTTGGGAGGAACCGCCTCGTCCTGACCCAGAGGGATTCTGGAGGCTGCCGGGCCGCTCGGGCTGGGGCGCACACCCGTGAGAGGCAGGGAGCCCCGAAACCGGGACGAAGGGGCGAGTGAATTCCCCGAGGGGCGCTCTTGCCCCTGGCTGGGGAGTTGGCGCATGTGCGGGCCGCGGGCCTGCCCCCCTTCCCAGCTGTTGCCTCTCCCTGCACGGAGAGGGACAGCCACCTGGTCCGGAGCTGTGTCTGTAGGGAGGGACTCTCCAGAAAACCCAGGGGCTCCACCGACTGCCCAGTGCACCAATCAGCCATCACTCCAAACTCCGTCCCTGGGCCAGGTGCGAAACATCATCATCCCTCCCCCCCCACACACACACACCAGCACACATAAATACACACAAACACATAGATCAGGCAGGAAAAATTCAGAGCTGGCCTCTACGAACCAACCTCCCCCATCAGACTGAGAAGAACCAGAATTGGGGGCCGGAGGGAGGGACAGGCTGGCCAGCACCCCCATGCCTTACTGCAGCACTGGCCGCTGTCCAGGCCTGGAGGGATGGCCGCGGGAGACAGCCTCTCTTGTCCTGCCACTCCGTGGCCACGCAGGAGGAGGTCCAGCCCCGACCCAGCCCTGCCCCTGGGAGGCTGAGGTCATGGGCGGATTTCAGGGCAAGGGGCCCGGCCGGGCTGGGTGGAGGGACTCAGCCCTGCTCAACTCATCACCTTCCCTTTCCCAACCCTGGTATCATCAGCACCCCTTGCCCCTCTCAGGCAGCCCCGCGTCCTCTGACTGTCCAGACTCAGAGCTTTGTGCTCCTTCACCTCCCTGAGGACCCGCTTCCTGCTCGGCAGAGCCCCCACCGCCCCCCATCCTCTCACCCATGTGGCCAAAGCAACTTATTCATCACTGGTTTGCGTCACCGCCCATCTGGGTTGTGTGTGGGGGACAGACAGACGCACCCTGCATGCTGTCCCAGGCTCGCTCGCTCCAGCAAGGGCCCAGAGAGCATTTAGTACAAGGGGTGTAAAGACACCCCCACCCCACCTCATCCCTCTGCTTTCTGCCACGGGGATGGATGCAGGCTGTGAAGGCCCCCCCACCCCGCCCTCACCTCCCTTGATGCCTCGCATCAAATCGAAGGGAACAGTGGGCTGGGGGGGTATGGGAGGGGAGGTGTCACCAGACTGCCAAACCCACCTTCGGAGACCAGAGGACAGCCTCGTGGGTAAATTGCTCTCAGGGCAAAAAGGGGTTTTGGGGAGAGGCGGTTGAAGGCGCTCATTGCTGAGTGGACAAATCACTTTCCTGCCCCCCTCCAGCAGAGACCCCTCTCACCCCGCGACCCCCTTCAAGTCAGATCCCACACCATAGTCAGCCAGGGCTACTTCCGGCTCAGGGTCCAGGGGACCATGTGGTGCCCGGAATGGGGTCTGGGGCTCCTGCATGCCAAGCATGTGCCTGTTCCAACTCTCCTCCGCCCGCACTCGCCTCTCTTCACAGACTGAGAATGCGTCCCTAGAGGGCCACTATTCCCCAGCACCCCCTCCCCTCCTCAGCGTCCCTCCTCCGCCCCCCCCTGGTCTGTGTTCCAGTCCCGCCTGCCTCCCCCGCAGGTCTGATGCTTTCAGAGTTGCTGTGGGTATGGGGCTGAGCTGCTCCAGGCCACAGACAGTGTGGCATGTGCTAATAACTGAGTCAGACTCCTCGCCTTCCGCCGGCTGCTGGTCTTTCTAGGGCTTGGAAATGGTTAGATACGGGAGACTTCCGGTGGGGGGTGGGGGGACAGCCGGACCCCTTGAGCTTGTCGAGTGAAATCTGGGGTCCTTCAGAGACTTCTTGGGTGGGTGGGTCAGGCTCCTTCGGGAAGTGAGGGAGGGGGGAAACGCTTGTGTGGGCCAAGGGGTGCAGGGGTGGAACCCAGTTCTCCTGCGTGCACGTGCTTTATAGCTGGGTCACCTCTTTGCTTTTGGGTGTCCCTACGGGGATTCCAGCCCCGCATCTGGAGAAACATTTGGCCTTTATTTATTTTGGGGGGTGATGGGAACGGCATTTGTAAAAGGCTCCATCCCCAGGCTCATGGGGGATCAGAGCGCCGCTCCATCCATGGTTGGAAGGGCAGGTAGGTCTGGGGGGGAGCTTAACGGGTCCCCCCGTCAGGAGGAGGGTCTTGGACCTCAGTTATGGTTTCCCCTAGACCCGGTGGGAACCAGGATCGCCCCCCCTTCCTCCAACTTCACATTCTCCTCTGAGTCTAGAGGCAGCAGCTCCTGCTTCTCGAAGGTTCTTTGTTCCCAGTGAGTGCAGTGGACAGGTGGTGGGACAGCTGTGCTAGGAAGCAGCTGCCAGGGCTGGGGTGTCCCCCCTCACCCCCCCTCCACCATTTGGAGCACATTACCCCACCTGTGCCCCTTTGGGAGGAGTTGATCCCAAGAGGTGGGGGTGGGGATGGCTGAGGGGATCCGTTTGTGCCCCCCACCCCTGTGACTGCTGACCCTCTGGGGTTGGATGGGCCCGTTCCTTCTCGCTTCCCTCCCTTTTTATCCCTCCCCTCATTTCTCTCCTGCCATCTCTTGGCTGAACCCTCCGGAGCGCCCCTGTATCACCACCAACCCGGTACCCTTATCCTCCGCGGCTTGCTCCGAGCCCGGGTCCTTCCATCAACCGGGGTGTCCAGGGGCTCCCAGCGGCTCCTTTCTCTGGGAATGGTTGCGGCATCTCAGCTGCCTGGGGCAGAAAAAGCCAGGCAGGAGGAAGAAGGGAGGAGGGAGGCGCTTGGTCAACGGCTTCCTGGCACCCGCCGCCTAGGGCTGCAGAGCTAGGGGGAGCTGCGGGGGGCAGGGGTGGGGTCGGGGAGGAAGCCAGGGGGGCGCGACCACCCTGCAGCCCGAGTGACCAGATGACCTCATCCCTACTTCCCAGAGGCGGATCTGAAGGGGGGTGGGGGGGTGCAGAGCTCTGGCGGGTCCCCAGAGTCCTTTGTGTACTGGAGAATGCGGTGGGGGGCGGGGACGTGGTGTTGGTGGGGACACACGCGCGCGCGCGCGCGCGCGCACACACACACACACACACACACACACCCAGTCGTGTGCCAATTGCCGGGTTGCCATGGTTACCGGGGGATGCCCAGTGCCGAGCCAGCTCCGGGTTGTCGCTCCGCCCCTCTGGCGCCCTCGGGGCGGGGGGAGGGGCGGCGCATGCCCCAGGTAGGTAGGTGCCGCCTGGCGCCGGCCAATGGGACGACGCGGAGCGTGGTCGCCTGGGAACGGTAACCAAGGAGCCCGCACGCTTGCACACCCTCTCTCGTTGGGGTTGTAGACTGCCAGGACCCCGGAGTGCAGAGGATGCGATCCAGAGGAAGGGGGGAGATGCACCGCGAGCCAAGCCATGGGGTTCCCACTGCCGGCTCCCCACCTGATTCTGGCCTCCCTTCTTCCCCAGTTCCCAGGAGACCCCCCTTCTACTGCTCCGGTGCTGGACACCCCCCTTTCCCTAGCTCTGTCGTGACCAACCCAGAGTGCCCCAGAACCGCAGACCCTTCCTCTCCCACTCTCCTCCTCCTCCTCCTCCTCCTCCTCCTCTGAGCCGTCCCCACCCCAAATTGGCGGGTGCTGAGCTGGCCCTCCCTCTCCCCAGGGCTCTCTACACTTACGAGGATGGTTCGGATGACCTCAAGCTGGCCGCGTCAGGAGGTAAGAATTCCAGCCATTCCTCCTGCGCCTTCCTCCCTTCCTCTCCGCCCCCTCCTCCATTGTTCACTCCCCACCCGCCTGCCTGGCTTCGGGCCACCGCCTGCCGCCTGCAGCCCGCGGACAGACCCACATTTGTCTGTCGGGTGTCATTCTGCCCTGCTGCTGTCATCCCCAGGCTGGGGGACAAGGGAACCTGGTGGCCTTCCATGAAGAAGGTTGTGCAGAGTGACAACCTGCACAACCTCTCTCTCTCTCTCTCTCTCTCTTTCTCTCTCTCTCTCTCTCTCCCTCCCCCTCTCTCTCCCCCTTTCCTTTTTCTTTCTTTTCTCCCTTTCTTCCTCTTCTTTCCCCCTTCTTCCTTTCCTTTTCTTTCCCCCCCCTTTCTTCCTCTCCCTTTTCTCCCTCCCTCCATATCTTCCTCCCTCCCTCCCTTCCTTCCTCACACCCAGAAGTGCTCAGGGCTTGACTTCTAGTGGGCTCAGCGGGGCTCTCTCCGGTGCTGGTGCCGGTGAAATCCAGCCCAGGTGGGCCACATGCAAGGCAACCCTCTGTCTCTTCAGCCCCGCCCTCCTGATTTAGTCTGCACCCAGGCCCAGGGGATACTAGCAGTACCTGAGACATGAGGATATGGGGAGAACAGATATTTCCTTGGTCCTACCCCTCCCGCCAAATTGAGACACCCCTCCCCTCACACACACAGCCATGCAAAAGCAAAGGGAGTTTTTTCCCAGCTGCTGTTTAGGTTTGGGGCCACCCCCAGCTGTGTTCAGGGCTTACTTCTGGCTCTGCACTTAGGGATCACTCCTGGCAGTGCTCAAGGGGACCCCTGTGGGGGTGCCGGGGATCAAACCTGGCTCCACTGCTTGCAAGGCAAACACCCTCTCCGCTGTCCTATGACTCTGGCCCTTCCTGCTGCTTTTGACATCTGCCCAGAACCATGGAACCTTTAGGACCCAGGACTCCAAAGACTTTTCTGGTGCCTGCAGAACAGGGCTCCAGCCTCTTTGTGGGGGGGGGGGGGGGATTCAGGCATTGCGGTGGCCTCATGCCCTTCGGATTCCCACAGATGGGGGCTTGCAGGAACTCTCGGGTCACTTTGAGAACCAGAAAGTGATGTACGGCTTCTGTAGTGTCAAGGACTTCCCGGCAGCTCTGCCCAAATACGTGCTCATCAACTGGGTATGTGCTGTGGGCTGGGGAGGGGCCGTTCGTGTCCGGGACGGGGGTGGGGGTGGGGGTCCTCTCTGGAGAGAGCCTACTGTCATGAGTGTTTTCCCCGCGACCCCTCTGATCTGTTTTTCTCATCTCTTCTTCACTGGATGTGTTGCAGGTCGGGGAAGATGTGCCTGATGCCCGCAAATGCCAGTGTGCGAGCCATGTGGCTAAAGTGGCTGAGTTCTTCCAGGTGCGGTAGGGACTGGGCTCATGGGGCGCAGCATGGGCTCCTGGGCTTCAAGGGCTGGATTTGGGTTCCCGGTGGAGTTGGGCGGAGCCTGGGACTTTGAGGGCAGAGCTTTTCTGAGGAGTGGGGCCAGAGCTTCAGGGGCAGGGATTTGAGAACGGAGCTTTGACTGAAAGTGTCTGGGGTCAGCGCTGGGGCAGGAACTGGGGTGTAGGGATGAAAGGGGTGGGGTCAGAACCCCTGGGGGCGGAACTTAGGCTGCAGGGCGTGGTCAGGTTTGTAAAGGTGGGACCAGAGCTGAGGGTGGGGTTTGGGCTGCAGGGGGCGTGGTCAGGGTTATAGGGGCGGGGTCAGAGCTCCTGAGGGCGGAGTTTGGTGTGCAGGAGGCGTGGTTAGGGCTGCACGGAAGGGGCCAGAGCTCTTGAGGGCAGGGTGTGGTCTGCAAAGGGCGTGATTAGGGCTGCATGGGCGGGGCCAGGGCTCTTGAGGGCGGGGTTTGGGGCGGGGTCAGGACTGCAAGGTGGGACTACGCTGCCTGAACTGCTGCCTTCTTGCTGGAGGGAGTCGACGTGATCGTGAATGCCAGCAGCGTGGAAGACATAGATGCGGGCGCCATCGGGCAGCGGCTCTCCAATGGGCTGGCGCGGCTCTCCAGCCCCGTGCTCCACCGGCTGCGGCTGCGCGAGGATGAGAACGCAGAGCCAGTGGTCAGTGGGCACGCACGCCAGGCTCCCTGCTTGCATCCTCCGGGGGACCTCCCCAGGTGCGTGGGCGGAGCAGCCGCCCCACGAGGAGCTCAGCCCCAGCCCTTTGCCCCTGCAGGGAACCACCTATCAGAAGACTGATGCGGCTGTGGAAATGAAACGGATTAACCGCGAGCAGTTCTGGGAGCAGGCCAAGGTCTGGCCCAGCCAGTTGCACCCCGCTGGGTCCCCCACCCCGCCCCTGGCCCCGCCTGCATCTTTGGGGGTCCAGTCCACATGAGTCCTTTGGGAGGGGGCACCCCTGAACTCCTGTACCTTCCCAGGCTTCTTGAGTTGTGGATGGGTTGGAAAGACGCGACGGGGGTGGGTACGGAGGCTGGCCATCACCACGACCCCTACACTACCTTGGCTCTGGGGGTTACAGAAGGAGGAAGAGCTGCGGAAGGAGGAGGAGAGGAAGAAGGCCCTGGACGAGAGGCTCAGGTTTGAGCAGGAGCGGATGGAACAGGAACGGCAGGAGCAGGAAGAGCGGGAGCGACGCTACCGGGAGAGGGAACAGCAGATAGAGGAGCACAGGTGAGCCCCGCCCTGCTCCTCTCTGTGCTGTGTGTGGGGGGGGGGGGGGAGGAAGGGGCGGGGCCCTGGGTCGCCCCTTCCTGAAGGGGTGCATGCCTGGGTCTCATTCCAGGAGGAAACAACAGACTTTGGAAGCTGAGGAGGCCAAGCGGCGGCTGAAGGAACAATCTATCTTTGTAAGTTCCCTGCTGGATTCCCTGATCCTGCTCAGGAAAGTGTGTGTGTGTGTGTGTGTGTGTGTGTGTGTGTGTGTGTGTGTGTGTGTGTTGTGGTGATGCCCCGGTGTGGTTGGCTCTTACAGGTAGAGAAAGAGCTTAGGGACAGTCCTGTGTGTCCTGTGGGTAGGGGGTGACTGAGTAATGCCACAAAGCTCCTATCTCGGCTGCATTGGGCATTTCCTGGGAGGAACTAGACTCACAGAGTAAAATCCACATGGATTCTCCCTCCTCCACTCCCTTGCAACTCCCCAACGTATCTTGAGGGATTCTAGTGGATTTAGACACATTGCCATATTTAAGGGGCTCCAGGCTTGATCCCCAAAGCCAGGGGTGCTGTCTGAGCCCCTAAACATGAGCTCCCAGGGCCAGCGGTTTGCCCCATTGAAACCTTCAGCACCTGGGGCAGGAGAGACAGTAGAGTAGCCAACCTGGGTTCCATCCCAGCACCCCATATGGTCCCCCAAACCCCATTAGGAGTGATTCCTAAGCTCAGAGCCAGGAACTAAACCCTGAGCACTGCCAGGTGTTGCCCTAAAACCAAAAAAAAAAAAGAAAAGAAGAAGAAAAGCAAAGAAACTCAGTGGCTGGGTTGGGGAAGTGCCTCAACGGGCTAAACAACAGGCTTTGAAGACGACGTGGCATCCATTTCTGGCACCCCATGACCGGGAGTGCCCCCTGAGCCAGACGTGGCCTGAGAACGTGTCATTTCTTAATTGTTTTATTTTTCTGGCTTTTTTTCTTGTTAGGGTCATACTCAGCCGTGTTCAGGGGTTACCCTGGTGGTGAACAGGGAACTGGGGGGCCATAGGATTCAAGGCAGGCACCTTACCCCCCCTCCCATGCTATTTCGCTGACCCCCATTTCTTTTTTGTTTTGGGGCCACTTCGGGTGATGCTCACTCTGCACTCAGGAATGACCCCTAAGTGCAGAGTGACCCTCAGGGAAGCACATGGGATGCTGGGGATTGAACTCGGGTCAGCTGTGTGCTAGGCAAGCAAGCACCTTATCTTCTTTTTTTTGCTTTTTTGGGGGGTCACACCTGGCAATGCACAGGGTTTACTCCTGGCTCATGCACTCAGGAATTACTCCTGGCGGTGCTCAGGTGACCATATGGGATGCTGGGAATCGAACCCGGGTATGCCGTGTGCAAGGCAAACGTGTTCCCGCTGTGCTATCGCTCCAGCCCCAAGCACCTTATCTTCTGTTCTATGGCTCTCCACTCCCCCTTCTCCCCTCATTTCTTTTTATTCTGTTGGTTTTTTGGGTCACACCTCGAGATGCTCAGGGGTTACTCCTGGCTCTGCACTCAGGAATTACTCCCAGCAGTGATCAGGGGACCCTATGGGATGCCGGGGATTGAACCCAGCTTGGCCACATGCAAGGCAAACAAACGCCCTACCTGTTGTAATATTGCTCCAGCCCCACCCTCCTATTTCTTCCTCAGCATCTGACCAGTATTCAGGGAATTTAGAGGAAACGCCTGGTGGTGTTTTGCTAACCCAGGCGGATGGTTCAGTGCTTTGGCCCCAGTAACCCTGTCTTGGTATTGTTTGGGCCTGAGTGCTAAGGCTACCAGGGCCATACCTTTTTTTTTTTTTTTTTTTTTTTTTTTTGCTTTTTGGGCCACACCCAGCGATGCACAGGGGTTACGCCTAGTTCATGCACTCAGGAATTCCTCCTGGCCGTGCTCAGGGGACCATATGGGATGCTGGGAATTGAACCCGGGTTGGGCCGCGTGCAAGGCAGACGCCCTACCCGCTGTACTATCACTCCAGCCCCATGGTCCATACCATTTCTGATTGTGCCCAGGGGTGCATGCAGTGCCCAGTCCTTGCTTGCGCATGCCACGCATGCACTCCTGCCCCCACCCCCCCATCTCCTGGGCCCTGCCTGCTTGTCTGCACCAGACGACTGGAGGGAGCTCTAGGGCGACCCCTGCAGGAAGTATGGGATGAAGACAGGCAGGCAGCCCTGTGGTAATTGACATGAAGGGGTCGTTGGGGTCCACTCCCGGCCCCCATGGCTCCTGATGCTGAGGAAGCAATTTTGCAGTTGATAAATCAGAAGTCAAACGGGGGCTGGAGCGATAGCACAGCGGGTAGGGCATTTACCTTGCACGCAGCCAACATGGCCGACACAGGTTCGCTTCCTAGCATCCCATATGGTCCCCCGAGCACCGCCAGGAGCAATTCCTGAGTGCATGAGCCAGGAGTAACCCCTGAGCATAGCCGGGTGTGACCCAAAAAGAAAAATAAAAGAAGTCAAACCCCTGAGCATAGCCGGGTGTGACCCAAAAAGAAAAAAAAAGAAGTCAAACGGGGCTGGGGCCAGAGCAATAGTACAATGGGTAGGGAGTTTGCCTTGCATGAGGTAGACCTGGGTTCGATCCCTGCCATCCCTCAGCACCGCCAGAACGAATTTGAGTGCAGAGTCGGGAGTAACCCCTGAGCATCGCCAGATGTGACCCCCAAAGAAGCCAAGAAAAAATAAAACGGGGACCAGAGCGATACTACTGTGGATAGAGCATTTGCTTTTCATGTGGCCAACTGGGGTTCTATCCCTGGCATCCCATATGTTCCCCTGAGCACCACCAGGAGTGATACTGGAGTGTGCAGAGCTGGGAGTAACCCCTGCGCATTGCCAGATGTAGGCCAAAAGAAGAGGGGAAAAACAAAACAAAACAAAAATAAACCTTTGCGTAACTTCTTTGCGGGGGTGTTGGTTCTGACCCACATTCTGGTGATGCTCAGGAGCTGATCCTGGCTCTTCTCAGGAGGCGCCCCTGGCAGCGGTTGGGGGATCATAGATGGTGCTGGGGGTCAAACTGGGATTCGTGAGATGCAAGGGAAGCATCTTTTCCCCAGCCCCTAAATCTATAATCCTTTTGTTTTGGGAGGCCACTTCGGCGTGCTCAGGGTCTATGAAATCTACCTACCTTCATGGGCCAGACAGACAGCTCGGTAGCCCGTGAAGCACTGCCAGGTATAACCCAAAAGCCAATAAATCAGTTCATTGAAGACTGCTGGCGGGCTGGAGAGAGCATAGCGGGTAAGGGGTTTGCCTTGCACGCGGCTGACCTGGATTCGATTCCCAGCATCCCATATTGTCCCCTGAGCACCCCAGGAGTAACTCATGAGTGCAGAGCCAGGTGTAACCACTGTGCATCACCGGATGTGACCCCCCCCAAAAAAAAGACTGCTGGGGACATGGCTCAAAGTACCAGAGCATATGCCTTACATTCAGGAACCCCAACTCTGATCCTGAGCATTACATGGTCCCCAAACACCCAAACACCATTAGTAGGGCCTGGAGCGGTAGTACAGCGGGGAGGGTACTTGAAATTTCCTGTGGCTGACCCGGGTTCAATCCCCAGCATCCCCTATGATCCCCTGAGCATTGTCAGGAGTAACCCTTGAGCATTGCTGGGCGTGACCTAAAAAAGCAAAACCAAGCAAAAAAAACAAAATAGCATTCTTTTATTTTTGGGTCAGAGCACACCCAGCAGTGCTCTGGGTTTGTTCTTGACTATGATCTCAGTGATCATTCCAGGCGGGGCTCAGGGGACCATATGGGATGCTGGGGATCTAAATTGGTTAAACCATATGTACAGTCCCAGTCCGTATTAACAATAATTGATAACCACGTTGCATAAACCCGCAGGGTTATTTTATAACCAGAAGTCTGGTACCTTTATTTCATTACCCACTGCTTCCTCCCAGCCTCTGACACCACACACCACCATCTCTCCAAATCTTCTGTTCTGTGCAGCTGATTTTTTTTTAATGTTTCCTGGCTCTGTGCTCAGGAGCGCCCCCTGGTGGAGCATGGGGGAGCCTATACAGTGTAGGGGATTGAACAGGGGTGATTGACTTTCAGCAAGGCTGGTACCTCAGTTTTGGGATCACACTCAGTGGTGCTCAGAGCTTATTCCTAGCTCTGTGCTCAAGGGTTACTCCTGGCGAGCTGAGAAAACCATATGGGTGCAAGGGATGGAACCTGGGTTGGCTGTGTGCTAGCCTGAAGGACGTATAGTATTTGCCTGATGCCTGATTCATTTCATTCAGCCTTTTGGTTTTTGTTTTCGTTTTGGGCCCCACCCAGCAATGCTCAGGGATTACCCCTGGCCCTGTGCTCAGGAGTCACCCCTGGCAGTGCTCGGGGACCATATGGGATGCTGGGGATTGAACCCCGTTTGGCCACATGCAAGGCAAACCACCTACCTGCTGTATCATCGCCCCAGCCCTTCACATAGCCTTCTGCCTTCTGCGCTCCAGGTACTGAGGGGATATGGTGGCAGATGGACAGATTTCTTTCAAGGGGCAAACTGGAGCACTTGGTTAAGTAGGTAGAAGCCCCGGAACTCCCCCCACCCTTGCTCAAGACCCTGAAGCACAGTCCCACTGGGTGAGGTCCCAAAAAATGAGTAGGACACTTGCCTTACATATGGCTGACCTGGTTATAATCCCTGACACCCCATGTGGTCCCTCAGGCCCGCCGGGAATGATCCCTGAGCCCAGAACAAGGAGTAACCCCTGAGCATCACCAGGGGTGGCCCAAAACCCCCCCCCAAAAAACTCAAAGCCAGCAAAGGCAAAGCCAGGAGGGGAAGGAGCAGAAGTACCACCTCCAACTTCTTTCCTGCCCAAAGGGCTGCAAAACCATGGGGTCCGGAGAGAGGTGCAGCTTTGGGGTGTGTCTGTGGGGAGGGTGCCCAGGACACTCTCCTTTGCCTTCCAGGGGGACCAGCGGGATGAAGAGGAAGAAACCCAGCAGAAGAAGTCAGAATCCGAGGTCGAGGTGCGAGCTGGGGTGTGGGAGGAATGGGATAGGGGTGACAGATGTCAGGGGTCACGTGGTGCAGCCCCCCACCCCTTACCCTGGGTGGAGTCCAGCTGTGACCCTTGGCCTGGTGTCCCCCAGGAGGCAGCGGCCATCATCGCCCAGCGACCTGACAACCCGCGGGAGTTCTTCAAGCAGCAAGAACGAGTGGCATCGGCTTCCGCCGGCAGCTGTGACGCGCCCTCGCCCTTCAACCACCGGCCAGGTAGTCTTCGTGCCCCTTGTCCCCCGAGCCCCAGCCCCTCTGCAACCCCCCACCCCCACCCCCGACCCCACTTCTCAGGTGTGGGCGCAGCCCCTCGTGGAACTGGCCCCTCGGAGCCCCGCAAGGCCAGTCTGCGTGTTTCCACCCGCCACCTCCAGGGGGCAGCACTGAGCCGTTGCCGCGTTGGGCTGACCAGCAGGGGGCGTGAGAGGCCAGCTGAGGAGCTGGGGCTTGCCCCCAGCCTGGATTCTGGGCTGCACTGAGCTCTTGCCTGCGGAGTTTGCGGGAGGGTGCATGTGGGTGCTGTGCAGAGTACCTCCCCTCCTCCCAGGCTGCCTTGCGGATTGGGATTCTCTCTGTAGCTTCTGTGTCTTCCTGCCCCCAAGTGCCCTTCTGCTCTCCCTCTGCTGGTGTGTGTGCGTGTTTGTGTGTGCGTGTGTGTCCTTGCCATGTGTCCAGGCGAGGTGCTGGACAGCGGGGCCCCCGGCTGGCTGCGTGCGGTGGGGAAGCTGGCTGCCTTGTCCGTGGCTGGCGTTGGCACGAGTCATTTCAGTGGCTTGAGGCTGTGGCCGGCGGGGCTGGCTGTGTGCGCGCTCTTGGCTGAAGGCTGCTTGGACACCCCGGGCCAGCCCTGGGCACGGGGCGAGGCCTTGGGGTGGGGGGTAACTGACCCTCTCTTGTCCTCTGTCTCTCTCTTTCTCTCTCTGTCTGTCTCTCTCGGCAGGTCGTCCGTACTGCCCTTTCATTAAGGCATCGGGCAGTGCGCCTTCCTCCTCCTCCTCTTCCTCCTCCTCCCCTCCACGGATTCCCTTTCCCTATATCACCTGCCACCGCACCCCAAACCTCTCTTCCTCCCTCCCATGTATGTAGCCCAGGCCTCGGTGGCGGGGTGGGGGTAAGAAGGGCCCCGATTTGCCCTTACTCTGGTGTTCGCCCCACCCCCACCCCCAAAGCATCAGACCTGGCCTATCCCTCTTCCCTGGCCCGGCGGGGGCGCTGGCTCCCCTCCCCCACTACTAAGGACCTGCCTTCTAGGGTCTCAAGCTGTGCTCTTGGTCCCCGGGTGCCGGGGAAGCTCCCAGCCCCCCCACAAGCCAGACTTCTCGTTGTTGGCCAGGACCCCAAGGTGGACCGTCCTGGTCCCCCCTCTCCCCCCCGCCGGCTCCTGGTCCCACCCTGATGCCTCTGGGGTTTGTTTGCAGGCAGCCATCTGGACAGTCACCGCAGGATGACGCCCACCCCCGTCCCCGCCCGCAGCCCCACGCACTCCAGCACGGCCTCCACGCCCATTTCCGAGCAGATCGAGCGGGCCCTGGACGAGGTCACATCCTCGCAGCCACCACCTCCGCCCTTACCGTCCCCACCTGCCCAGGGTGAGCCAGGGACCTGGGGACAAGGCCCCTGGGGGCCCCTAGCGACTGCTTCACATCCCCAGTCCGCGCTGCCATGGGTGAACCTATGATGGAGCCTTGGGGTCGAACTAGATCGACATCCGGGGTGGTTTAAGGGGTGGCGAGAGGCAATGGAGGGCAGTCCCAACAAGAAGGGTGTTCGCTTGCACACGTTTGACCTGGGTTTCATCCCCGGCATCCCATAGGATCCCCCCAATCCCGCCAGGAGGGATCCCTGAGGGCAGAGTCAGGAGTAAGGCCTGAGTACCACCAGTTGTGGCCCAAAAAGCAAAAAAAAAAAAAAAAAAAAAAAAGAATTGGAGCAAAATAAGAATTGGAGCATAGGCTTTGCATGCAGGAATGTCACGATGTCTCACGTGGGACATCACTATCTAATATAGCCCCCAAACTGGCTTCTTGGGGCCAGAGTGAGTAGTGGGTCGGGAGCTGGCATTGAACATGGCACATGGGGACTGGAGAGACAGCACAGTGGGTAGTGTGTTTACTTTGCACGCGGCTGACCCGGGTTCAATTCCCAGCATCCCATAGGGTCCCCTGAGCACCGCCAGGAGTAATTCCTGAGTGCAGAACCAGGAGTAACCCCTGTGCATTGCAGAGTGTGACCCAAAAAGCAAAAAAAAAAAAGCGTGGCACACCTGGGTTTCAGATGCTACATTGGGTCCCCTGAGCCCTGCCAGGAGTGATCCCTGAGCACAGAATCAGGAGAAAGCCCTGAGCATTTCTGGGTGTGACCCGAAAGCCAACAAAAACAGAAGAAAAACCCTTGATTTTTCTCTTTTCCTGGGGGGGGGGGTGGGTAGGTGGTTGTGGGCTGGGGGTCACATCTGAAGGTGCTTAGCGGCTATTCCTGGCAGGGTGCTTAGGGAATTCTATATGGTGCCAGGGATCAAAACAGGGGTAGGCTGTGGAACCAGAGCGAAAGCACAGTGGGTAGGGCTGGCCTTGCATGCAGCCTACCTGGGTTTGATCTTCGGCACCCTTAAGAGCGATCCCTGAGATAACACAGCGGGTAGGGTGTTTGCCTTGCACATTGGCGACCTGAGTTCGATCCCTGGCATCCCATATGATCCCCTAAGCACTGCCAGGAGTAATTCCTGAGTGCCAAGCCAGGAGTAATTCCTGAGTGCCGAGCCAGGAGTAACTCCTGAGTGTTGCTGGGTGTAACCCAAAAAAAGAAAAATAAAGGGAGAGAATGATCCCTGAGTGCAGAGGCAGAAGTGAGCCCTGCACACTGCCAGGTATGGCCCCAAAACAAAACAGGGTCAGATGCAATGAATGCAAGTGCATTAATATATCTCATGTACCCCAAAACCTGCTTCATGGGTTGGAGCGCTTGTACAGCAGGTAAAGGGCTTGCTTTGCACACAGCCATGATCCCTAGCATCCTACAGGGATCCCCACCAGGAGGATCTGTGAGCATCTCCAGGTATGGCCCCAAAGCCAGAAAACCGAAACCTTCAGGTTAGAGAAGTAGTAAAGAAAGTAGAGCTCTTCTTTGCACACAGCTGACTGATGTGGGTTTGATCTCCAGCCTCCCATGGGGTCCTCAGAGCCCTGCCAGGAGTAACCCCTGTGCTCAGAGCCAGGAGGAAGCCCCGAGCATTACCGGGTGTCACCCAGAGACAACCACAAAAATCCTGAGCCTCAGTTACCCCAGAGTGAGTAAATTCTGGTTAAGCAGAAAACTCAGAGGAGTGGGGAACTGATGCCCTCCCACCCTCCATCTCTCTGTGCTGTGACAGAAATCCAGGAGTCCAGCCCTGGCTTGACTACTGAAGAGGCCACCAAGAAAATGGCCGAAGCAGCACCTCAGGCTTGGGCTGGCCCCGCAGAGGAGCCCCCCCAGGCCCCAGGCAGCTCTGGCGAGGACTTGATGTTCGTGGCGCCTCCCGAACCAGCAACGGTCCCAGGCGCCCCTCAGGAGCTGGTCTTGACCGACAGCCCGGCTGACGACGCCGACACTGCCATTGCTGACCCTGGTGTTGCCAACCCGACCGCCAGCCTCGTCGACCTATGGCCCAGCAATGACGCCGGGGCCTCCGAACCCCAGGCCGAGCCGAGGGCTCCCACACCCCCCTCGGGGGCTGAGGTCGCCCTAGCGGAGGTGCCCCTGCTGGATGAAGTGGCTCCTGAGCCACTGGGGCAGGCAGGCGATGGCTGTGCCAACCTTCTCAATTTTGATGAGCTGCCCGAGCCGCCAGCCACCTTCTGTGACCCGGAAGAAGACGTCGAAGGGGACCCCCTGGCCGCTCCTCAGGTCCCGACGCTGCCCTCCGCTTTAGAGGACCTAGATCAGGACCCGGAACTGGAGTCCGAGCCCCACCTGCTTACCAATGGCGAGACCCCCCAAAAGGAGGGGACCCAGGTCCGGCAGGAGTAACCGGGTGGGAAGGCGGGGAGGAGTCAAAGCTGGTGCAGGCACCCCACCTTTTCACTGTGACCCACATTAGAGCGGGGGTGAGCTTTCCATTCCCCCTCCCTGGGCCAGCGCCGCCTTTGTTCCCCAGGCGCGCATCTGCGTCTCCCTGGCAACCACTGATGGAATAGCTAGTTGCCAGGGCAACGGGCTCCGGGGTCTGGTTGGTCCAGCCTTGGCGCTGGGTGGGGCCAGGTGACCTGGAGCTTTCTTCCCCGCAGGCCAGTGAAGGCTACTTCAGCCAATCACAGGAGGAGGAGTTTGCCCAATCGGAAGAGCTGTGTGCGAAGGCTCCGCCCCCTGTGTTCTACACCAAGCCTCCAGGTAAGGCCAGGGAAATACTGGGAGCTGGGTGTTCCAAATAATTGAGTGGGTGTGGGTGTAGGGGGAACGGGGGGGGGGGTGTTCGGGACAGAGGTGTTGAGTGCCAGTGTGGGCTGGCAGTCCCTCTGCTTCTGCCCACACAGCCTCCAAGAGTTTGGAGGGACTTATTTTTGGGGGTTTTTTTAGTTTAATTTTTTTTTTGAATAATTGAATCACCATGAGATAATGCTGAGATGCTGAGTTCTTTCTGGATCTCTCCCCTGCCCACACCCTAGAAATTGACATCACGTGCTGGGATGCAGACCCGGTACCCGAAGAGGAGGAGGGCTTCGAGAGAGGTGATTAGCGGCGGCGCCCACCCTCAGGCAGCCTTCCCGAGGTCGCCCACCTGCGCCTGCCTCCTGGCCTCACGGCCCGGCCGCGTCTGCGCCAGCAGCTGCCCTGCCTGGCCCCCCAACTCCGGATTCCGGCCCTGGCCGGGGACTTGGCCGCTTCCTGACCCACAGGGCCCCCCACTTTTACAGCTTTTCTCTCTTTTTTTTAAAAATTGATAGACTTGTACAGTTGACCGGTTTTCCTCCCGTTGGTAGTTGAGACGCTGTTGCAAAAATGCCGTCCCCACCCCTCCCCCGCCCCCTGTTCCCTCCCTGCCCCTCCCTTCCCCCTCCCCCCCCCCCCCCCCCCCCCCGCGCCCGATCGGGAATGTAGCTTAGTGATTTTCCTGTGCTCTCAGCGGGCTGGGGTGGGGGACTTCCTCCGGCTTGGGGCCTGTCGTGGGTGGGGGGGAGAGCTCTGGTGGGAAAAAAAAATGTCCCCTCCACCCCCCTCTTTCCTAGTTTTATGTTTCTTGGAAAAATATCACTTTGTATTCTCTGTCCAGGGCTTTCAGATATTTTGCACGAATTTTAAACACAAGGCAATAAATGGCTGGTGGGCCCTGACTCCCTGGGACCCCTTCCCCCGCCCTCCCTTCCCCAACTCTTGATCGTCCTCCCCCGCCTGGGCCAGAGGAATTATCGGGCCCTCCTGGGGCCCCCTGGCGTTCCGGGCCCCCTCCTGCTGGGCAGGTCCCAGGCTGGAGGCCCCTCTCTGCTTTGCGCTTCAGGTCAAGGGCGCGCGGGGTGGGACCCGGGGCTTGCGCGACCCCTTTCCGATTCCTCCCTCTTTGCTTGGGTTCCTTTTTCACGTTCAGTACCTGTTTTTTGGAAAGCACAAACTTTATGTAACGGGTCGTGCTCATGTCTGTTAATAAAGAAATCCAGATCCCTCCGGGCTTCAGGGGCTGAGCTGGGGGTGGGTCGCCCACCCGGATCCCCATTTTCAACTTCCCACCTCCAGGGCAGAAGGGGGGGCGGGGGCGCCCTCAGCGATAGATCAGGGATCTGGAAGGTGGCATCCGAGGCTCCGGTAGGGTACGGTGCTGCGGGGGAAGGGCCCTGTCGAGGGTTTGAAGCCTCTGGGGTTTCATTTGGAACTTGGCGTGCGGACCCTTCCCTTCCAGACCCCTTGAGCGCAAGCCCCCTCCGCTTGTACTAAACCAGATCACACACCTTTATTATCCTCAAAATGTAACAAACAGGGTAAGAAATCCATCCCTCCCGCCCCCGCCCCGCACCCCTCTGCGCAGTCCAAGGGAAGCAATTTTTTTTTCTTTTTTTAAAAAGCCCCGCCATCAGGCCAAAAGTTCGCGGGTCGGGCCCCCGACGCGGGCGCCCCTCTAAACGGCTGTAGTCCTTCCGAACAAGGGCATGGAGACGGGCAGGCGCCAAGCTCCGTGCTCCAGCGGCTCGCGGCTGCTGAGCTCCGAGTCGGTCCAGCTGGGGAAGACGCGGCGGCCGCGCTCCGCCTGCTGCAGGCAGAGCGCGGGGCAGGGCGCGGGCGCGGGCCGCGGCGCGCTAGGCAGATGCAGCGCCGACGAGTAGCCCCGGTCGAGGAAGAGCGGCTTGTAGCTGGGCGGCGGCTGCTCCTGCTTCTCGGAGCTGTCGCGGCGGCTCAGGAAGGGCGTGACGATCTTGCGGTAGAGGCCGCGCGTGTCCGTGAGCACCTCGCTGTAAGGCGGCGGCGGCTCGGCCATCAGCACCGCTTCTTCGTAGCACGGTGGCTTGGTCAGGTCCGATTCGGCTGCAGGACGCGCGCGCGCGCGGGGGAAGCGGCGTTAAGTGGGCACGGGGCGGGGGATCGGGCGCTGGGGTGGGGGGCGAAACCGCGATCACAGACCCGCTCCAAGCCTCTCCCCCCGCCCACGGGTGGCCCGGGGGTGGCCCCGGCGGGAGATCGGGGTGGTTACTCACTTTGGCGCGGGTAGCTCCAGGGCCGCGGCGGCACCGAGAGGTGCGGCGGCGGCGGCGGGTGCGGCAGCGCGTGGTGGTGGGCGTGCGGGTGCGCGTGCGCGTGCGGCGGCGCGGGCCCGTGGTGCAGCAGCGGGTGCACGTGCACGTGCGGATGCCCGTGCGCCGCCGCCGCCGCCGCCGACGCCTCCAGGCGGCCGCGGTGCGCCGGCGGCGGCGGGGGCGGCGCCAGGCCCGGGGGGCTCCCGGCCAGGCTGCCCTCGAGCTCCAGCGGCTCCAGCTCGAGGGCGCGCAAGTTCTGCTCCCGCAGCCGCTCCTCCTGGCGCCGTTTGAGGCGGCGGCGCAGGAAGCTGCAGAAGCAGCACAGGAGGACGATGAGCCCCCAGATGAGCCAGAAGCCCGCGAAGCACGTGAGGAACGTGTAGGTGCCCTGGGACATCACCATGGCGGCGGCGGCGGCGGCGCGGGCGGAGGCGGCTTCACTGGACGCTGGGCTCCTCCACGTGGCCCCGGGCCCGCGCCACGCTCGCACGGGGACCCACGGCCGGGGGCGGCCCGCCGCGGCGGGGCTCGGGCGGTGCGCGCGCCGGCGGGGGGCAGCAGCAGCGGCGCCCGCTCCTTCCCATGGCGCCGGCGGGCGCGCGGGGCGGGGCCTCACCCGGGGCCGCGCGGGACCTGTGGGGGGTGGTGAAACACACGACACGGGTCGCGCTGGAAGGGGCGCCGCCGCCCCGGTGACGTCCTCGCGCCCGCGCACTCGCCCGCACGCGCCTGTCCCCGCGTGCGCGCGCCCGCCCGCGCGACCCGGGAAAGCCGCGGCCGGAACCCCCGCGCTCCCCGGGGCGGTGACGTCACCGCGGGTGACGTCACGCCCCGAGGTTTCCCCCCGGGCCCGCCCGGGTTTCCCCGATCCCGGGACCCGGCCGCCTGCCGCCGAAGTGCCGAGGGAGGGAGGGAGGGAGGGACCTCCCGGCGGCGGCCGGCAGGGGGCGCGCGAAGGCCACGCTCGGCGGCCGCACCCGGAACCGGAGGAAAAGGAGTTGAATGAATCACGCCCGGGCCCGCGTAGTCCCGGCCGCACCCCGGCAGGCAGCCCAGCTCGGCACCGGCCCCACGAGCCCAAGAGGAGTCTGGGCACGGCGGCTTGGAGACAGGGAAGGAAGGGTGCACCTAAGACTCCCGCCGTGTGCCCGGCCGGCCCCGGGGCTCACGCCTGGCAGCCCCTGGCACTTGGAGCGCTGTTCCCAGCGCCCAGCCCTGGCTGCAAGACGCAGGGAACGCTTTGGCCCGCTGGGCAACCCTGGGGTCGTTGCCGTGCTGGTTGGCGAGGCTGGGTGGGCACTGTGCCACCGGGCCTGGCGCAGCTCACGTCTCCCTTCTCCCCGCCGCACCCCTGCGCCCGCTGCGCACCCTGCCTGACCCCAAGTGCTGCCCCATTTGGTTGGTCCTGCTGCTCTTCCTAGCTCAGGGCCTCTTCCCCTCCAGTTCCTTACCCTTTCTACAGAGACGGGAAGTTGCCACTGCGCCACTCTAGAAGCATCTAGGAGCACAACCTGACAGGAACAGAAGGAGCCCTTGGGTGATGTGGATGGGACCACACCCAGGGTGCTCTGGGCTCTGTGTTCACATAGGTTCCTGCCGGGGATGGAACCCGGGTCGGCTGCGTGCAAGGCAAGCGCTTTAACCCCTTGTACTGTCTCTGTCCACCCCCGGGGACCTTTGGGGTAACTGAGTCACTGCTGTTTCATCAAGGATAAAGGACGGGTAATTAGCTATGTCAAGGTGCAGCCACCACTTGAACCCGGCCCTGCTGCTGGGAAAAGATGGGTGGGCTGTTGGGGCGTCTGTGCAGGGTCCCCTGGGCCCCCTTGGGCACCCCAGTGGGCTATAGTGAGCTCCAGGCACCAATCAGAGCCGAGCTGTGCGGTCCGAGCCAGGAGCCAAGTTGGGGGGGAAGCCGGGTCACCACCTCCCTCCCTTCTCCCCAGATGGCTCCTGCCTGCCTCTTGCTGCCCTGTGCCATGTGCCACTCGGTGCCTGTGCCAGCCCCTTCTTGCAGGCCGAGTTCCCGAACAGACAATGGCAGGAACAATAGCTCCACCCGCCCCCTCCATAGCTCCATCATCAGGCTGCCATGGAGACGCAGCCGGGAGAGAAACTCAAGGTTGCCAGTCACTGGGACTTAATTAAATCTGTTGTTCTCCTTCCCCCGAGCCCACAGGAATTTTCAGGAATGCTCGGAGGAAGGCGGCACGAACTCCAGGCCCCGTGGGCTTCCAGGGCACAAAAGGATTTGGGGTCAGAGCAGGCGTTTGTGGAAGCTGGAGACAGTGGGGCCTGAGGTGCCTTAGACAGAGAAAGAGTAGGGCTGGACAGATGCCACAGCGGGCAGAGCAGTGCAGCCGGCCCCGGGTTTAATCCCCGGCACCACACAGTGACCCCTGAGCATAGCCAGGGGTGGCCCTCCCCCCCCCAAAAAAAAAAGAAAACAAGGGGAAAAAAGAGATCAAAATACTGTCTCTGCTCTCTTTGACACAGAATAGGGTGGTTGTCACTTTGGCCTGTTTGTGGGGTTGGTGCAGGGCTGGGAGGATCAGAGAGGGACAGGATTTGTCCTGGGTTGCACAGTGCTTAAGGGAAGAAGTAAGAATCACCTTTGAGTGATTTCAATTCTGGAAAAAAAATGGGGGGCTACTCCTAGTGGTGCTCAGGCCTTATCCCTGACTCTGTTATCAGGGATCACTCCTGGCTAGGGTTTGGGGGACCCTATGGGGTGCTGGAGACCGAATTCGCGTTGGCTGCATGCAAGGCAAGAACCTTCCTTGCTATACTGTCACTCCGGCCCCTCTAGCCTGAGGTTGACAACAGGTGAGAACTTGGTGGTCCTGGAGGAGGAAGCTTCAGAGTGAACTGGGGACAAAGGACCCCAGGGGTTCCTCCTAACTCAGCACTCAGGAATTACTTCTGGTGGTGCTCTGGGGACCCTATGGGATGTCAGGGTTCGAACCCAGGTTGGCTGCATGCAAGGCAAAGCTCCCTACCCACTGGACCATCGCTTCGGCCCTGAAGGGGTGGGGATTTGAAGCTCAGTCGCACCCCCAATCCCAGGGGCGGTGGCTTCACCCACTGGTGCTTCCTCGTCTGCTCCACCCCAGGGCTCAATGCCCAGAAGGCCTGGCAAGGCCTCAGGTATATTTGGTGTTTTGTCTTCTGGGCCACACCGAAGAATGATCAGTGGTCACTCCTGGCTGTGCTTGGTGAATGCAATGGGGTGTCGGAGATTGAATTTAGGCCGGCTGCATGCAAGGCAAATGCCCTCCCCACTGTGCTATCCCTCTAATCC